GTAAGTACTAGGCAGCACCAAAATGAATCTGCAATTCACCTATGCTATATAGTGCGTATGTAGTGCCAGGCACTAGGTAAGTAAGCCTGTCCAGTTCGTTTATAGTCTACCCCGAGAGCTGTTATCTGCATATATTCGGTATTCGCCTGGTGATATAACTTGTCTGTGAGCGTGTTGGCAATCAATGTGTTGATTCGATTGTATTTACTGGTGAGGTTCGTGTGTGTGTACGATTGCTAGTACTAACAAAAAAAGACAATCTCTTTGGAAAATACGACATGTACGGAAATGACACAGATTCCACACCAAGTGTACTACAAAAGGTTCATGAGCGAGATACGAAGTAAACATTAAAACATCCGTATAAAACTACATTTTGCGACATTCGTGACCATGAAAAAGGTTCCTCACCAGACATGAGGTGGGGACAATGCGAATAGTCCTCTATAATGCGGACGACGGTAACATTGGACACCTATTCACAGTCGAGTACGCAAGAACATTATTGCTCCTTGTTCCATCGCCTACCCCAAGTCAACTACAATATACGACACACACCACCTTAGTTTGCGACATACGTGCGGTGGACGGCGGCCATGTGTGGCATGTGATGTGGGTGACGTCCTGGAAAGTCTGTTCATTTAGAACATCGATGAATTGTCGTATTTTCTTATCCACCACTTCGACTAGCTCCATGAGCTCCAGTAGTGAATTGTAGTGTTGGTTGAAGGCGTTGAGTTCTCCTGTCACCGCCTGGATGTTCAAGTTGCTAAAGGCTGCACCGGAAAGCAGCGCGGAATACAAGGAATTCGGGATCAAAACTCTTGAGAAAAGGAAAAATGTAGCCCAAAAAAATTAAAGATGGTCATGATAAGGTAGGTACCCCATCACTAGCAAGAGTGCTATCCAAGAAGAAGACTATATGAGTATCACTTCCAACCACTACTAACAATGGTGCGATGAAGACATAACTACAATTTACTAGAATTGAATGTGTGGGGGTTACAGGCCAACATACACAACGCCCGTCAAAACCGCAGAAAGATCGATGTACACATGTCCCCGATATACAGATGGAACTGCAGATACCGAACATCTCACTAATAAAAACTCAGTACCAACATGATAGAATATAAGAGAGCCCGTATGTATAAACATGTATTGAAGAATCTGTAGAGCACATACGTATGACAGCACGGACAACACATACACATAAAGTACACTCAAAGACAAATTTTTAGGCTAACAGTTTGCTCTTGCACACGAGGAATTTGGAATCTAATCGGAACCTTCACACCTGCCAACAAACAGATACATATGTATGCACGCTCAAATATCACTACATACACCTTATCCGTTACCCGGCTGTCCAGTAGTATACACTTCTCAAGTCAGTACACTATATTAACCCACACAACTCACATACATACACACACCATACATACACCCATACAATACACACCTCTCACATACACCCATACATACACCCATACAATACACACATACAATACAACCATACATACACACATACAATACAACCATACATACACACATACAATACAACCATACATACACCCATACAATACACACCACTCAAATACACACACACTCCATACATACACCATACAATACACACCGGTGCGTGCCTCGACATACCACTGTTCAAGCTGGCGGTTTCGCTGAAGCTGCTTTGTGAGTCCGATCCGCTGAGTCTACCTGAGTACAGGTTATTGTTCATTGCGTCCGCAAACGTACTCGTGTGGTCGTCTAGAACAACACCCGTTGGTGAATCGATAGCAGCCCATTCGGCCTATACACATTGCAGTAGGAACGAAGGGGTATAAGCATGTGTTTGTGGACCTATAAGTGTCAGTTTGTTTTTAGCCATATATTTATTGCGTGCTATATATATATATATATATATATATATATATTATAATAAATATACATATAAATATATTATAATAAATATACATATAAATATATAAATATATATATACATAAATACATATGTGTGTATATATGTATGCATGTATGTATGTATGTGTGTGCAATATATATATTATATATATATAT